AACCGGAATCTGCAATCATATACTCATCCTCAGTGAAGTAATCACCAGGGTGACACCAAATCTAATGAATCATATCATCAGTCCACGACAGGATGATATGATTCAAATGAACACTTACCAAGGATGTTCTGAGCACTCTTTGGTCAAGGACACTTCCACACCAACCGTGGCGAGAAAACATGATCCGACGCCAATGATTGCACACAAGCATTGAATTGACTCCGTAAAAGTACTTACGGGTCCAGTAATCCTCTTTGCAATTTACCGGGCCAAAAGCTAACAGGATAAGTGTTCCGTCGATAAACCTCACACAACCCTTCAGAACAGGGTGTTTTTGACAGAGCTCGTTTGAAATAAGTTTACGCTTGTTTTTGGATGGCCAGGAGAGGAATTGTGGTTGCAATTCAAGAATAGCCGCTACACATCTCCAAGTATAGTTTTCTACACTTCCATCTGTTGTTGAAATGGAAACATGTTAATGCCGAGATGATGTACTTGGAATATATATGAGCACCCACCTGAAACACCTAATAAGTTGCGTATGAGGGCCACTTGTCCGCAATTTCCTGACAACCCCAAGTTCGCTAGAGCAACCAGAAGTTGCAACTCAACCTGTGCTTGAGGATTACTTGAGGTGTTTTTGAACACTTGACTATCTTCGATGTAACCCAAAAGCGTGATGAAGCTACCTTTTTTCATTTGCGCCTAATCACATCCTTGAATAGGATATTAAGAACACAGTTAGAAGCTAATACCAAAAAATCGAACTTGAGAAATGAGATAGCTTGCCACTTTTATGAACGTAACCTCAGAGGCATGCATCATTGCGATGAAGAGTTCTTGTGAATGATCACGTTCTTGGAGAGTTCTCAAAGCCAGGTATTGTCGATTCTCAACGCTTTCCAGTTCCGCCAACCAAACTTCCACTTCAGTCTTCTTCGAATCGAAGTCCATGAGGGGTTGAGTACTTCTACTCTTAAGCAAGAGAGACAAAGTCAAGCGCTGGATTGGTTGAAGACGAAGATTATCAGGTAATAAATGAGGCAGAAGGAGCAGGGTTGATAACAAAGATGAGGTTCTTGAGGAACGATTTGCTGGAGGTGTATAGTCGGTGGGGTAAGCTAGAAGGTGGTGTGATACCCCTTTCAGAGCTTGGAGTACTTGCCGTTGTGCTGAGACTCGCGGCATCTTGGTGGGGTGAGTAGAGTCTTTGGATTCCAGAGGGTGCGAGGTGTTCTCAAATATCCCCAGAGGTGTCCACAAGTGACACCCCAAATTTATTTTGGGGGTGTCCCAGAAGGTTCTGGATGTCACTTCTGGACACTTCTGGGACACCAAACACAAGTTTTGAAGACCACTAATAGGGGTATTCAAAACTCCAGAACCGGGTCCCAGAAGTGTCAAGAAGTGACATACAGAAACTTCTGGGACACCTCAAGAAATTTATGGAACCAAATTCAATCTTTGCAGTTTGATACATACATACATGCAGCATCACATATCCCGATGCAAATCCTCACTCAACACCCACTCAACTTTTCACATCACCTCTGATATGCCCTCTTCGCATTCCCATCATCTTTCTCGCACACCATCCGATTCTGCTATCGGTCAAGCACCACCAATTCCTTATCCTTATACATTTGTCTCACCAAATATAAACACACCAATCGCCCCAGTTATCCATCCACATATCTCGCCTCATATTTGGGGAACCTTATCTCCTGCACCGTACCAACCATCAGTTCAAAGTATGTCAGTTCAAGATCCTCAAGCAACTCCAGAAACTCAACAAACTCAACCGGTTTCGGAACCCAAGAAACGAGCTCAAAAAAAGAAAGATACCAAGGCCAAGGCCAACACCAAACAGGGATCTTCCCCTAGACATCCTCGAACCCAGTGGCGTGCCGACCTCAACAAGGACGGTAAAACTCCCTTGAGTCTTTTAGTTGATTGGCTTACGACTCCAGAGGGTGAAGGTTTTCGTTTAGACCAGTGGAGAGGTGAAGGAGGGACAATCAAGAAGGCCAAAATTGTGATAGATATATCTAAGTACCTTTCTGAAAATGGCTTTCCGAACATACGTTCTACCTCAGTGGAACAACAGGTTTGTCTATCTTGTCTTCACATTTGTTACATACGTATCTCAATTTTGTGTGGTTTTGTTTGTTGATGTAGATACGAGATCTTGAGAGGAGTTTTCGGACAGCACGAGATTACCGCAAAGGAACTGGTCAGGGTGAGAAACAAAAGTTAATGGATGATGCATTACGTGAGAAGGAGGAAAATGGGTATGAATCTGATAGTGAGGCATGGAAAGAACTACTCTCTTTGGTAGAGGATAAGTTTGAGAGTACATGTATTTTTGCAAGTTTTAGATACGATACCCAACTAATCTACATGTATTCCTCCATAGCAATCCTTAAAAAAAAGTGTCTATACTTTGAAGAAATGTTACCTGCTTTTGGCCGGCGAAAGGCAAATTCACCGGACAAGGTTCTGGAATCTAACAACTCGTTTGTCATCGATGACATCTTACCCAATCAAAAAAAAAATCTTTCTTCGGTACAACATGAAGATTCTCAACTTGAGGCCACGCAATCTGATCAAGATGAACGCGACGATGATCCGGATGATGCGATAATCGATCGATTACTTCATTCAATTGAAAGCCCAAAATTTGATTCTGTAGATGACATCAATCAAGAAGGTGAAGATTCAAATGACCTCGGTATCAAACATCAATCTGATTCTGGAGTCATTGGTTCAACGAGTTCAGTTCTCATTGCGTCTTCCACCTTGGGAGATAAGGTCAATAGGTCAACTCGGTCTAAAGATTCCATCGCTTGTCAAGTGTGAGCCTACTAGCGTCTGTTAGGCTAGTAGAGTCAATATAAAGGTTGTAGAAAGTCTAATAACTTCTACGAAGGTTGTGTAGATCAAGATCTACAAGTGTGAACGGGTATAGACGTGGGCGTAAGAGCTTTACTTGCAATAAACAAGTAAAGACTGCAGTTAGTTGACCTTTAAACAAAGGCTTTAGCCCAGGGATTTTGGGTTAATTATTGTCTTTACAATAATTAAAAAGAAGAGCAACTGACGCGCAGTTCTCAATCCTAATTTGATCCTCTTCTATTCTAAGAAAGGTCAAAGAAGGTAGTGTTAAGGTCTATTATAACACCGGGAACTTTACACTCTGACTAATAGAGATTTCCCCGTAGATTTAGAGTTTCTTATATCAGATGAATCCCAAATCTGATATGAGCAATACTCAAGGACTACTTCCTTACAAGTAATTCCACCAAATGGATATTACCAGAAATACTGATTATGGAGTCTAATCAGAAACAAAGTTGAATGAGCACACAGAATAAGCAACAAGACACAAGGTTTGAGTTTCAAGGTTCGTAGAATCAGGCCTTTAAAGTTTGGTTATTGAAAAGCAAAGTTTAAAGGTTCTAGGAAGATGAATAAAAGCAAAGTTGTGTAGTTGTTGAATAATAATGTGATGATGTTGATCCTCTCAATTTGGCTGGATTTTCAGGGTTTATATAGTCTGAACCTTGGAAATCTTTGGACTAAAAGTGCGCACAAATTGTGGTTCTATGGTTAGGTTAATTACAGTAAGACAGTTACTATTGTATTATAAGTATATTTCACTTGTTACATATGTGTTACGGCTGTGAAATATATGTAGCTTTGGTTTGCATCAAAGTTATGTATGTTCAAACCCTTTGATTTAAGTTCTGCACATGTTACATATGCTAAATCATATGTAACTTGACTCTTGAAACTGAGCCTTGAGTTGTAATTGCTATTTTTAAGGTTTTTATTATAATACGTCGCCCATTGGTACTCTGGTTTAGTACTCAGGGCTGACATTCCCCACCACCAGAAGAGGTCATACGCCTTCTCAAGGTTTATGATCTCTTTTCGATGCTCTAAATGTGTGGAGTCATTACTTTGGCATGATTAACTTTATTTGTTGGTATACACTCCCCTGCAAGAACTCCTTGATCTTAGTGTTGAGACTCCATCTCAGATTCACTATCCTCATATTCTACAAATTCCATTGTATCACCTGCTCCTTCATTTTCATCTTCTTGTCTATCTTCCTCTGCTTCAACTGCATTTATGGCTGTCCCTTTCCCTTTACATGTTCTCCAAACATGCTGAGGATCTGTACTGCCACAGGTATTGCAAGACTTACTACTTTTCCTTTCAGTAGTAGGATGTTGAGCTTTTGTACTGCTTACTTGGTGCTCCTTGTGGTCATTATTTGACTGAGAGTGAGAATTATTTGTCTGTGTTCTTCTAACAGGCATCAACTTTTAGCAATATCTTCAAAAGCTAGAATGAAATCTGTCCAACTACCATCCGGACCAATTCTATTTTGGACCGGGATTCTGATTGCGCTGGGTAGCTGCCAAAGTACTTTTTCAGCTACTTCAGATGAGTCTGCATTTGGTCTAAATGATCTAAACCGCTGTTGTTGCCTTGAAGCCCATTTACCACAATCAGAATTGATTTCTGGTTTGAATCTGTCTCTCATGAATAGTCTCTCCATGTAAGACCTCCATTGAGCATTGCCAAACCTGGTCTGAATAACTTGTTTCCATTCCTCCCAAGTTTTATTATGCCCACCGTCTTCTTTCATGACGTCCATAACCCATTGTCGAGCTACACCAGTAAATACAATTGATAATTTTGATGTAATCAAAATATCTGGCATTTGTAGGCGCACTGGTACTGCGTCAACCCAATCAATAAACTCTTGGTGATTGTACTCACCTTCTCCGCTAAAAGTAGGCCAATCCTTGACATTAGGATATTCTTTCCTTAGTTCTTTTCTGATTGATGCTTGACGCAACAATTCTGTGGTTGTTTCTAAATCTACCATTGAATTGTCAGGATGCAACACAGTGTTTTGATTTATGTGTTGAGACAAGAATGGATTATTTCCAAGCTTAGGGGTAGTTTCCACTCTGAACCTTGATCCATTATCTTGCCTATCAAGGTGAGGAGGTACACTTCTGACCTTCCTTGTTGAACTACCTTGCATAGGAGTTTGACTGATACCTTCAAAATTTCTCACCATTGAGCCAACTCTATTTGTAGGTAAAGTATTGTTTTGTAGTTGCTCCTGCACTTGCTCTATGTCTTGCTTATTACTATTTGTCATTCTCAGCAACATATCTTCAATTCTATCTAATTTACTATTAGTAGAATTTTCAAACTTTGTTTGATTTTCTTTAATTTCCTGTAGACTTCTTGCGATAAAGTCTTGAAAATTACTCCGCTGGATTTTCTCATTTTCAACCGCAAGTGTTTGGTCTTGGATGAATTTGTTCATTTCATCGCTAGACAGACTGGTGTTCTGATGAAACTTGTTGTCAAGTTTTTCATACAACTTATGATGAAGATTTTCTAACAGTGTAGTTAGAACTTGATCATGTTGAACTACACTAGGTCTCTCACTCTCGTGATTGTCACAAAACTCATTCAAAGTATTTTTGAACTCTAAAATATTCTCATTAATATCATTTAGAGAGAGCAAAGAGGATGAATTTTTATCTAAAAATAAATTCAAAGACTCTGAAGGAAATTGATTTAGAAAGGAAACAAACTTTTTATTCAAACTAGAAACATCTTTGTTATCTTGCCTGATAACCTTATAAAGTTCTTTGTATTGAGCATTAACAACTTCTAAAAGATGAAATTCTTTTTTTAATACTTCTGAAAATTTAGAACCTAATTCATTACTAAAATCTCTGATATTGGAATCCAAAACTTCTAAATTACCATTAAATACTTTCAAAAATTCCTTAAGGGACTGATTAAATTCATTAGAAACATTTATCTGTTGTTCAAAATGTCCAAGATAATTGGTTATTTCAGTCATCATAGGTAAAATGAATTCACTCTGAGTTATTTCTGAGAACTTACGTAAAATAACTCTTTCTTGAGTACTCAGTGTACCTAAATCTTTTTCTCCAGGCCTCTTTGACTTCTGAAGTTTTGAAAGAAATACCCCCTGTTCAAAAGAATCAGCGCTTGGCCTGCTTCCACTTGGGCCTGGTAATAGACCTGAAAGTCCTGCTGGCTTGAGTTCACTTAGCTGTGGTTGTACTATCGGGCCAAATGCCCTTGGTGTGACCTCAGATGGGAGTTCCGCTGGTGGTTCATGGCCGTCTTCGGCTGCTGAGCTTCCGGTTTGACCACTCTCAGACTGAATATTTGGATCATCTACTGAGCTTGAAGGTCCTGACACTGATAGTTGTACTTTACCAACTTCTGTTGTCAACGGAAGGTTGGTTGAGTCCTTTTGCAGAGCCTCAGTGGTAATTGAAAGCTTACCTCTGCCTTCATTTACCCTTTGCTTACTGCTGGCTGTTGATCCAGCCCTGGATCCAATCTTTGACCGTGGTCCATCGGTTCCAGGCCGGCTAACACTGGTTGACTGGAGGTTACCATAACGCTCCGGCTCATTACGGCTACGAGGATGAGGTGGTGGATTCCAATCAGCCATTGTGACAAATGAGCAGATATGAAATTTCCAGAAAATAAATCTAAAACAAATTTAAATTCTCTTCTAAATTTCAAGATAGAGAAAGGAAGATAACTCAAATAACTGAATAAATTTCTTTGAAATCTTTCCTTGGTTGAAACAACTGAGACCTTTTCAACTTGAGGTGATTGTTGTAGAATGAAGCTCAAATCTTTTTTCCTTATTCTTTAAATTAGTCAAATAAAATCAATGAAAGATTTCAGCACAGGAAAAGGAACTTATTTTTAAATCAACAGAAAAAATGTCAAAGTCAAGAACAACCTAACAAAATTTGATATCAGATTTGACAACTGGTCCAAGTTAATCAATTAGTGTTAAAAAATAATATTGATGTTTCAATTAGGTATTAGTTCAAAAGAGAAATGTCCACACAGTTCTTGCTTTATTCTTATGTATTATCTTGTATACAATGAAAATAGTGTGATAAGATTGTAGCAAAAATAAATCTACTTTGAAAATCAAAGGCTGACTTAGAATGGACTCGATAAGAAATTTTTATTTCTGGAATCAAAATCAAGTCAATTTGCTTTAGATACAATTACTCGGTCAATCTAGAGTTGACAAGCTAAATCTGAAAGAGTTGTACTTGAAACAGTCTTTTCGAGCCCAAAGTTTAATTGATTTGCCTTAAAACCACTGATTGATGGATGGATGCAGTCTCAAGATAGGCAATATAATAAAGAAGGGATTTCAGTGTTGTTATCTTTCAATAATCAAGAATGATTGAAGACACAATCAATAGCTTACTTTGTGAATTACTATGTTTGAACTTCAAAAAAGGACTTCCACAAATTTTTATGAGATCGATAGCTTTTCAAAATCAAAAGTTCAATCAATTTTTGTTAAAAACAATCAATCAATTTCAAAGGTTTCGCCCCTTTGCCTTGTGTAGATTAAAATGACTTCTGATCGAATGAACACTTATACCAAAAGAAAAGAACAGAATGGATAGAATGATGATTTGATCAACTTATGTTTGAATTTCTCCTTGATCAAATTGTAAGTTCTTTGTTCTTTCAATCGAGGTGTGAGACTTTCCTGATCTTGTCTTCAAGATGATCGTGGTTCAGTGCAGGAAAATCTGGATGAACTTTATCTAGATTCACTACTAATCAGGGTGATTAATAAAGGACAGTAAAAAATAAAGAGAATCACAGAAGAAAATCAATGTCAGTGATCGATTGGCTGAATCTCGATATTCAATTATCAAAGAGTAAAGCAATTCTACTATTTTACTTACTTGCAGGATTGTAGTTTCCAATCGATTGATTTATTATCAAATTGTCAATTGGTTTACTATACTCTGTGTCAAATTTCAAGTCAAGCTCCTCAATAGAACAAGATATAGTCTTATCAGCAAAAGACTTGAACAAAGAAATCGATTTTGATGATTTCTTACAAAGAAAGTAGATAGATAGACCTACTCACTGGAAATCTTTCCAGATACTGAGGGATAATGATCAAAAGGGCTGAAATCGGTTTTGAAGTTAATAAGGGACAATCGATTTTAGACCAAGGTGATGTCCTTGTGACAATCAAAACAATGATTGATTCTAAAGTTATGAAATCACAAGAAGATGGGATAACCCAATAAAAACAAGTATTATTTCCTTATACTGATTGAAGAAGGTAATTGTTGACTAAAACAACTTACCCAGTCATCTATCCACTAATTACTCTCGTGAATATGATTGTCCCAATCGGATTAACACTTAATCCAGGAAAGAATATCAAAGAAAGATATCAATCAATGAAATTATCAGTTTACTTATTCTTCTTTAATAAATTGTGAGCTCCTTAGATTGGATGATCAAAATCTTACCTCGTACTGATTTTCTTCTGTCTTCTTGCACGATAAGCAACACCGGTGAGAGTCCCAGTGAATTCGATCGATCGATCGTACAGTGATGGTGCTAGGGTGGTACTTGGTGGTCTGCGAGTTCGAATGTCGAAATTCGGTGAGCAATAGCAGGGTTGTGCAAACATCCTGACCAGCGCGGGTCGCGGGTCGCGGGTCAGTACATTTGATACTGCAGCTATAAGTCATTCCAAATCCGTTGACGCAGTGTCATTTTGTAATTGCAAATCCGTCAACGCAGTCAATTTCAACATCCTCAAACCGGCGTACCATTATAGACCATTATCGTGACCTCCGAAAATGTATTGACAGGTTACCACGTTCTCCCTTAAGTCCCATCTGGGCGAAGGTGTCAAAGGTGGAAATACAACCAAGATTACCAGGATTATCCCGCTGATCAAAACTCTACAAGTCCATCCCATTTTTGATCACCATTCACGAGTAAAATCAAAATTGATAGCAACACTTTTCCGAGCAAGTCTAACATAAAGTGAGGTCGTTTTGATCGCCAGCTTTGATGGACGTTTCTGTGACGCGGGCAGATGCGCATTAGGCTACAAGGTCATGGTGTTTTCCATAAAATCAATGTATCACAAATGGAAATGAACGGTGGATAACGAAAGAGAGGTTGATACGTTTTGGGGTTGCTATAAAAGTATTATGAATCACATTTGATTTTGCTAAGAATCGCGCGACAGGATGGATCGAGTCGTGAGAAACGCAGTGATTGTCAATTACATATGAAATTTGGCAATACATGTGAAATGACCAGCGCGGGCCAGTTTCGCGGGCCGGCCTGTTTAGTTGCACAAGGCGTCGATTTCTCTGGAAATTCGATGGAATTCGAAATCCAGTACGTGTACAGTACCACTGTGGCTGTCGGACCGCGCGCAGGGCTTTTGTACAATTACCATGTGCGTTAATTGTACACAGTCACCTGATGTAATATATGTAAACTTGTAATGAAAGCCACGTGTTTGGCTTGTTACACCCCACAAATAAGAGAATTACAGATATAATTCAGCACAAATTATATGTAATAGAGTTATCTATGGATCAACTATTGATCCTTTTGTCAAAAAAATAAAAAAAATAAAAAAAAGCGAAATTTGGGGGGGAAGGAGTTTCTTTCCTTTCTCCAAGTTATTATCCTAAAATCAAAAATGCTGAGCTTTCCTCAGTTTTTGCAATTGAAGGTGAATTGAAACAATCAAATGAAATATTTTTATTTTTATTTTTAAGGTTTCTAAGACTGAGCTATAACACACTCAAAAAAAATCAAAAAGGTTCTAAAACCCAGATGAGGCCCCCAAATGTGAGCCTACTAGCGTCTGTTAGGCTAGTAGAGTCAATATAAAGGTTGTAGAAAGTCTAATAACTTCTACAAAGGTTGTGTAGATCAAGATCTACAAGTGTGAACGGGTATAGACGTGGGCGTAAGAGCTTTACTTGCAATAAACAAGTAAAGACTGCAGTTAGTTGACCTTTAAACAAAGGCTTTAGCCCAGGGATTTTGGGTTAATTATTGTCTTTACAATAATTAAAAAGAAGAGCAACTGACGCGCAGTTCTCAATCCTAATTTGATCCTCTTCTATTCTAAGAAAGGTCAAAGAAGGTAGTGTTAAGGTCTATTATAACACCGGGAACTTTACACTCTGACTAATAGAGATTTCCCCGTAGATTTAGAGTTTCTTATATCAGATGAATCCCAAATCTGATATGAGCAATACTCAAGGACTACTTCCTTACAAGTAATTCCACCAAATGGATATTACCAGAAATACTGATTATGGAGTCTAATCAGAAACAAAGTTGAATGAGCACACAGAATAAGCAACAAGACACAAGGTTTGAGTTTCAAGGTTCGTAGAATCAGGCCTTTAAAGTTTGGTTATTGAAAAGCAAAGTTTAAAGGTTCTAGGAAGATGAATAAAAGCAAAGTTGTGTAGTTGTTGAATAATAATGTGATGATGTTGATCCTCTCAATTTGGCTGGATTTTCAGGGTTTATATAGTCTGAACCTTGGAAATCTTTGGACTACAAGTGCGCACAAATTGTGGTTCTATGGTTAGGTTAATTACAGTAAGACAGTTACTATTGTATTATAAGTATATTTCACTTGTTACATATGTTTTACGGCTGTGAAATATATGTAGCTTTGGTTTGCATCAAAGTTATGTATGTTCAAACCCTTTGATTTAAGTTCTGCACATGTTACATATGCTAAATCATATGTAACTTGACTCTTGAAACTGAGCCTTGAGTTGTAATTGCTATTTTTAAGGTTTTTATTATAATACGTCGCCCATTGGTACTCTGGTTTAGTATTCAGGGCTGACATCAAGCGTCACCTCGAAAAAGTTGTACCGTTGATTCATTGGATCAAAGTACTGTGAAAGCGAAATCATCTCGAGTCAATTCCGGTCCAGCTTCCTCGATTCTAACCAATCACTTACCATCACGAGAAGAACGGGAGGCTGAGTGGGAGTTCAAGAAGGATCACATGTTAGCCGAACAAGAAGCAAGACGGTCTGAAGTGTTTGCAAATAACAAACTATCTGAAGCTATTACGAAATCCTTAGATCCAAAACCGAATGAGCATACTCAAATGCTTCATGAGCTTCAACTTATAAGGGAGACTTTACATTTCAAACAAGCAGAGATGGAATTTGAAGAAAAAAATCTTGGTGAAACAAAAATCATCAAGCGACGTCGAGAGAAACTGGAGTTAGACAAGATCGAGCAAGAGCTGGAGTCGCATCATAAGAAAGCAAAAATGGAGGATATATCCATGAGGGGTCGTCTGTACAAGGAATACATGGACAATTTCAACATGACCTGGGCCGAAGCAAAACAAACAGTGGATGAGATGCTCGCACAATAAGGAGATAAGGTAAGCATCTCACTATTGTTTACCTAATCTCCTTTCAAATGAATTCATTTGATAATTTTTCATTTCATTTCCTACCTCATATAGACACCGATCCAAAGACCTCAATCATGATTGGACCATATATAAAAACCTCGTTTTTTTAATATTTTTTTCACTAAGATACTTCATAAAATGTCTCGACTTGAACTTTTGGACTGATTTCAAGTCAATTTTTTTTCTCCTTCACTAAAGATAAAAATAAAAAGTCTTTTTTTTTTAAAGTAATTATATGAAAATTCTTAGTATTTGTAAGGAAAACTTTCCATGACTTTGTGTGGCCACTGTGATTTGTGTTTTGCAAATATAAAAATTTCATTTACTTAAAAAAAGATTTTCAAAAGTATTTTCTTTCAATAAAAACTCCAAGACAAAATAACTTTGAGCAGATAAAACACACAAGAGAATTTTTTTTTTCAATAACACGCTGATCCAAAGAAAAAATCTTTGCAAAATACTATCAATAAGTAAAAAAATTAAGAGTGAAAGAAGATACATTCTTTTTTGGGATGTTTGACTTGGTGTAGAATTTTTGAACAAGGAAAAAAAATAAAATTGCTTGTCTGCATCCTGAACACAAAAATAGATTACTATATGTCATTAAGAGTCACGGTATTCTACAAAACCTAACACTTACCATCTTCATATTTTGCCTGCCAACATAGCACAGTAATAGGCAAAGACTTCACGGCGTAAAGCATTGTCATTATCTGCAAGGACAAAGTTTGCAACAGCAGGAGTTTCTTCGTTGTACAATCGCTCGGCTTCTCTTTCGGCGTTGGTAGGTGTACCGTATGAAAGTGAAGTGCTTTCATCAACTTCCAAAAGGAAGTTGTGAAGTAGGCAAAATACCATCAAAAGGGCGTTCATACGTTTTGTTGATACATCATCTTTTAAAATAAGTCTACATTCCTTCATCATTTGAAAACGAGATTTAAGCATTCCATTAACCTGTTCAATTACGGTTCTTGCCTCACTGAGCTCTTTGTTAAATGAGTTTTTGAGTTTGGCCAGATGAGTTTCCGCATTTTGTTTCAATAGAGGCAGAGTGCATTTTGATGCACTGTATCCTGAATCGGCGACTAGATACTCACCCTTGGTAAAGTAACGACCCGGGTGAGTCCAAAGCTAGATAACCAATCAGCAAACATTTTTTTTGATGTGATTCAACCAAAAACTTACTTACCGATGAAGTTCTTAGGACTCGCTGGTCATGAACGCTGCCACACCATCCATGGCAAGCAAAGGTGATTCTTCGACGATGATCACAAACAATCATTGAATTGAGTCCGTAGAAATATTTTCGGGTCCAATAGTCCTCTTTGCAGAAGACTGGGCCGAAAGCTAGGGGAATCAAGGTCCCATCAACGAAACCTACACATCCCTTCAAAGCCGGGTGAGCCTGACTGATCTCTTTGCTGATCTTTGCTCGTTCGATTCGAGATGGCCAGCTAAGGTACTGATGCTGCAACTCCAGAATCGCCGCTACACATCGCCATGTGTAGTTTTCAACACTCCCATCTGAAATGATGAGCTATGTCAGTAACAGAAACGAGCTACATAGATTATCAACCCACACCGACCTGAAACCCCTAATAAACGGCCTATGAGAGAAACCTGACCACCATTTCCTGAAAGCCCAATATTTGCAAGCGCAACCAAGAGTTGCACCTCAACCCGTGCTTGAGGATTGCTTGAAGTGTTTCTAAATACCTGACTATCTTCAATCTTACGTAATAGAGTTATGAAGTTGACCTTCTTCATTTGCGCCTGTCCATATCATCCTAGCAGACGTTAAAAAAGAGTTCAAACGACAAAAGTAATAGGAAGACCTTACCACTTTGATGAATGTCACATCTCCACCGTTCATAAATCCATTGAAGAGCTCGTAGGAATGGTCTCGATCGCGGAGAGTTCTGGATTCAAGGTATCGCTGGTTTTCAACACGTTCAAGCTCCCCTAACCACATTCCAACTTCGTCAATCTTCATTTCAAAGTTGTCAAGTTGTGGAAACCTTCTACTTTTCAGAATGAAAACTAAGGATGAGCGAGTGATGGGTGTAAGTTTAAGATCCGGTAGTAAGTGAGGCAGGAGGAGAAGAATCGATAACAATCGAGAGGAGCTTGAGTGATGTTTGCGTGACAAAAGATGAAGAGAGTCGTCGGTAGGGTGAGCGAGGAAGTGTTGTGATACCGCTTTGAGAACTTGTAGGACCTGTCGTCTGGCTGAGACTCGTGGCATCTTGAGATGTGAGCGATGTGAGGAGTCTTTGGAATCAGATGGAATCGAGGTTTTTAGCAGAACATGGTCGGTCTCGCGGAAGTTTGGGAACGTTCCCTAGGACTTAGGGAACATTAGTTCCCAGGCTGTTTTCGTCATATGAAATTTTATTTACATACCGCATGTGTCCACCCCGCTTCCACTTCCATCTGCTTCCATACACTCTTCCCGATGCAGCTTATCGACTATCTCACCTCATCGTTCAATTTTTAACTACATCACAAACTCCATCCACTACCCTGACGCATCACAAGCTTCACGCATCAGTTCCACATCAACAAGCTACAAAGCACAATGCTACTCTCCGATATCATCGAACAGTTGGACGATTTCCCATCAGTACGAGACACTGTGGACGCCAATGCCGTCTTCCGATTTGTCACAGTCGCCAGCCATTTTGTAAAAATTAACCAACGGTCCATACGAATTGACAAGTACAACGCGCCATACGAATATCTCAATTCCGCGCTGCCTCCACCTGCAGTGCCTGGCACGTGGGAGGTTCTATGCAACGTGCTATACTCCCAGTTCGCCTCATCTTACGTGGAACCTGCCGCCCTGATCCGAGCCCAAGGCCTCAACCGCGAGCCTGGCGCACTTCAAATTCCAGAACGGATATTCTGGCCTCCCTACCGAGACAAATGTCCCAACGCCGAGTGTGGACGGCGAACCCTGGAAAGAAGGCCCGCCATATGTGGATATCTTTATGACCTAGACGGCGTCCAATCGATTCGCCATCATACAACGTATTGTAGACGTGAGTTTTTGTCATCATTTCTACTCAAACACCAAAACTGACACTCACTACGTTCAACACCATCCCTCCAGAATGCAAGACCAGCTTCAGGGCATCATACTTTTCACACAAGAAAGGACCACGGACCTACTACTTGGACACAGTCAGAAATGATCCAGACTGCATCCAAGTTAATATGCACTACTTCATGACCACACAACTACTTGAATATTTTAATCACACACAATCCCTAGCGCAGTGAGTACGCGGACACCACAATAAATCGAACCCGGCCTTGAAACTAAAATGATAAGCCTTATTTATTTCAGTGTCTCTGTATACAATCTGGCAACTATATACAACAGCTGCCACAAGCTTTCCCAAGACGCCTCTAATCACTTTCCAGCGGAGACATTTAAGCCGAGTCTTTCCGACCACTGTTGCACCACGGCAATGGATATTCATCGTCTGTTACGCCAATTCAACCTCCGAAACCGCATGATGAGCGTCTCTGACTCTGGCGGCTCTCAACATCGTTTCCGAGATCCCAAAATGACCGTTCTCATGTGGACCGAACTCGAAGGCAGTCCTTACATTGATCATATGTGCTCAGAATGCACCGAAATTCTTGAAGACCCGAATGTTCCTGGAGGCGGTTTGGGTAAGCCATAAAATATACCATGATTAAAACCCTCATAAACTAATGATGTTCCTTCTTGATGGTCACAGCAATTTGTGCAATCGCTATGGACGGCATAACGATTGGACATCCACGTTGTAGCGCAACCAAGGAGCAACTCGTATTCCTTAATCCCCTGGACACCAACCCACCACCGTGCACTGTCATGCTCGAAACACCCAAAGACCGCTATTGCCCCCTCCACATTCCTTTGCTAGGCAAACTATGCCATGCCCAGCCATGCACCCGAGACGCAATTGGTACTACCAAGGCCTGCGACCTAGACGAACACAAAGAGGCCCTCCTAATCCGTTCTGAGAAGACCCGACGTTCTCTGGCTGCGCTGGCTTTCAACCAAAGAACGGGCGCCAAACTTCCTGAGGACCCAACAGCTGCACTCAACGCCAATACTGATGCTTTCAATGTAGATGCTTTGATCGAGCGAGATGAGTCGGACCGCACCCACGAAGCCGGTCGCGATGGAGAAGAGACCACCCGGCCCGCCGGAGGAAAGAAGCCATTCTGTTCAAACGCGAAGACGCATAACGACATGCTGTTTGTCGCTACCTGTGGTATAACGTTAGCTAGGGAGACCATGTACCGCGCGGAGTCTGTAATATTGGTCCGAGTCAGCAGCTATGGGTTTTTCATTACCCCCTACCTTGATACACTAACAAACGCGTTCTTCTCTGAGCAGGAAATATTGGAAAGAAAATTTCCCGTTCTACCGCCTGTGCAATTCTTCGATAATTCATGCACCTTCGACAAGTCACTTAGGAAGGACCCCGCCGCGGCTGAACGCCTCAAGGGGACGATCAGACCAGTAGACCCTTTCCACATGCGCACCCATTCTGAAAAGGATGCCCAGTGCCGCCAATACAATGACCCAAAGCGCTGGCCATTCCTCAAGAAGGCCGATGGTACCTGGCGATTCAATGGGTCTGCAGCAGAGATTACCAATGCCTGGTATGGTGGGTTTCTATCAATATGCCGTGGCATGCATGAGATAAACTACAGATTTTTCTTGGAGGAAATGATACGTGTTCGAAACGAATCTCTGCTCTCGAAGCTTGTACGCAAAACTAACTTTTGCTGTAACATCCCTTCACATCTTGCTCAGCAAAGTCCTTTCCCCCTCTCACTTTGATACGAATACTTTTCTTTCTATACTTCCTATCTTCTTTCTATATTGCAACCTTTATTCTTTATCTACATTACAGCTAATTTTGGAGTACGTATACCGCCACTTATTCCATCTGAAATTTAATTGTGTTATGCCTCAGCATCAATATGGTGTGCAGCCTTCCTTCTCCTTCAGAATGGCAAGCACAGTGAAAGCACAGTGAGCAGAAAGCATAGTGAGCAACCAAAACTTCTAAGGTGACCAAACATGAAGTTAAATCCAATTCAATACAAAATGCGCGTGAAACAAATAGAAAAAGTCGCTGAATAAAATCTCAAAGATAAAGCAAAATATCAGGAAACACTCAGCAAACAAATAAGTTATCAAAATGTTGCACTCCTCGAGACGAGATAAAAAACACTGAAAGGAAAGATGACTAGTCACAACACAAGCGTAAAAATACAAATGCAGAAATCATCATTATTGTCGTGCACAATAATAACATGCTATACAACACACATTTCACACTGACAAAGGTTTAAGGCCAAGTTCATGGCAAATCTGGTTACACTTGTTATGACCGGCTTTGAAATCAAAAAAAAATTGCTCTGTCGAGTCGTGGTTCTCCAAGTGGTACGACCTGATAAAGAAAAGCATCTATAAGTATTGTAAATGACAAAAGCAATAACGGCTTACGTACCCTTTATTGAAGCAAACCACACTGGAAATGTTTCCCGTTTCGTCACAGTCGATTTGACCAATAACAGTAACACCACCACTCTTTTGGTAAACATAATGTATAAAGGCATATATGTAATGCTTCCAAGTATTGGAAGGTGGCATAGTGTCTCTGAAGCACGACGGATACACGTATCGCTTACTGCTGGAGTCCCGGGCAGTTTCGCACATCACCCATCGGGGGAGGTCATCGTCAAGTGACCCAATGGTCTGCATCAAGAACACGCGATGAACCTAAGGCAAGAAATCAAAGGGTAAGTAAGTAACGTGCAACATGTTCATTGAAAGTTTAAGAAACAAACATCGCACTGACGTGTAAATTATACGAGCGTAAAAACCACTCCTGGAACTCCCGGACTTCTTGGTCGTGCCATAATTTGCGCAAACGGGCCTTGAATAATTCAAGCATGGTTGCCACATATGCGTGAGCATTGACGAGCTCCAAAGCATGATCTCGGCCGGACCTAGCAGAACACGACCATCGGCTGTGAAATCTCACTATCCCTTTATACGGCACAGGGTCACCGTCACCTTGCAATTCACGAACACACCAATCATTGACATCCCTGGTCAATGATAAATCAACCTTGCGACCTATTCCGTAGACCACAACAGCCTCCGTAAATCCAGTACCGCCATCTGGAACGTATGAAGGTGTCCTACCGTGTTCGTAGAAGTCTTTGAGTTCGTAAAGAAAGGCTGCGCGTTTGGCCGGTGAATCCAGTCGGAAGGTCAAGACCCGTCGAGGAACGGAAACCTGTATCACACTTCCAGCCCCTACCACAACTGCGAATGCACCAAATCAGCGTTACGAAATCAAAGTAAGAGATAAAGAGGTAGGTTTCCAAAATTCCACACCTTCCAGCTTGGCGTGTCTCAGAGCACGCGGAGCCCTGACCTTGATGACAGTGCGGGAAGTCGGTATTAAAGGACCTTGAACAGTCGTCCCAACAACTTCAGTTTCGGTAAGAGCCACATCATCAGCTGGTCCAACCGATCCATGGACCGCAGCAGATGAATCAGAAGCAGTAGAAGAAGTTCTGGTGATGGGGACTTCAATAAAAGAGCTCGGAAATGTGAGGATTGTGCTAGAAGCCTCCTCAGTTGCAGTCGATTCGGAACGCATAGCTTCACCTGACACATCTAAGATGTTGCGCGATCGCATATTAAGATTGTATTATTTAAGATTGGAACAATCTGATTGAGATTGAAGATGAAATTGAAAAATCAAAGGTGAACTCTCACCTGACACTTCCACTTCTAAGATGTTGCGTGATGGCATATTAGGATTATATTGGAACAATCTGATTGCAGATGAAATTAAAAATAAATCAAAGGTGAACTCTTTGTTGAAATACTTATAATCGGAAGGCGCAAATGGATAAAAACCAAGGGCGGTGTGCTGTTATATGGACACAAAAGCAATTGATTGTTGAGCGATCACCGGTGTGTTCGCAGGCCAAAAAGGTAAGGTAATCCCTCGCTTCGCACCTTAATATGTGGCCCAATGAATACCTACCAATGACACCCAATTATCATTTTGTGAAGCTCGATTTGTCCCCATCATCAAAGTGCTGGTAGGTTATATTAACCAATATCCATTTCCTGACTCTCGACCAGTCCCGATCTTCTTCAAATTTCAACTCATACGAACAGCCGCGTGAAAGATATTCAAACAAGCGAGCTACGCGGCATTGCGTATAGGTAACTTGTGTATGCAACGTCCGCAAATGAAATATGTATTGCCACATGATATATTTTGCTATGAACATTGACATTCAAAATAACCATCTGAACGTTGATCAAGCCTCAAGCATCCCACTTAAAGACTTCAGAACCCTCGATCACATGGCCGATCACATAGCCGCCGCCGATCATATTGAGTCAATAGCCGCCGCCGATCATATCGAGTCACCACATCATCTGGACAATATAGATGATGGGCAGAACACCAATCGTGTTCCAGCGAGCCCCTTCGCCTTTGATGTAGAAGGAGATCGCGAGGATGACAACCTTGAGTCAAGCTTTCAGACCTTGCAAGGAGATGACGAGGATGTTTCAAGTACGTGAACTTAATTTCTTTTATTTCCGTGTATCATCAATGTTTTTAGACTAATTGTGTCATCTTTGTTATATTTGACTTTGATAAAGTGTCATCAGTTTCCACTACACCAAATGTAATCTTTACCGGGCGGTAAAGAAAACTACTGACATAGAAAAGTCCTGAGGCAACAGGAAGAGAGCTAAAAATCTGAAAAAATATGCACCTTGTTCCTAGATGTTGGGGCGTCATGATGAGTATTATATTGTGTTCTACACGCAGATATTGCCTAGTGAACTAACTGCAAGGGCTGAAAGTCTGCAAAAAGGCAGCTGTAACAGTAACCGAAATTTAGGTCATAGGTAAAGGGGCTCGCTGTTGCGCGCTAGGAGCTCCGCTAACTTTTGCAATTCTGC